CCCAGGTTTTTTTTGTACCCGCCGCTAATCAGTGGGCGTAGGGTCAATTAAGGGGTTTAATTATAATGTTTGTCTCATCGTTTTTGGGGGGGATCTGAATAGGGATAGGTGAAGGGTGAAGGGTGACGGATGAAAATGGCCACACCGATGAGAGAAGCTGTGTTTTCTTTTCTTCTGCAAAAACTTACAGGAGATGAGCGCCGCACGTGTGGAGCTTTGTGTGCGAGCTCCTATATTTTTTTTCTGTCGTGCGTAAATTTGCTATTTTAATGTTTAAGTTTGCAATGGAAGAAAAAATAAAGATGCGTTGTACTTGTGTTTGCTAAAAGGATTATTTTATTTACGCGTAGGAGATTAACTACTGGCAAATCAATCAAATTTCAAGAGGATATGAACATGAAATCGGGTTCAAGCAAATGTTGACATATTTGGACCTTTAATTAGGACGACACCAACCATTTTGTTATTGAAACTTGTTTACAAAAAACTAGAATTTAATTCATCGGATCCGTGGCGCAATGGTAGCGCGTCTGACTCCAGATCAGAAGGTTGCGTGTTCGATTCACGTCGGGTTCAATCCCGATCCATAAGGATCCTAATCTTTTTTTTAATTATTTTCCATTTTTGCCCTTTATCCGAATCTGACAGACTTGGGCCAAGCCCATGAACATTGTAGAATAGGGCCCACTATCGCTAATACTATTTTAGTAGCGTGTATGCCTGGAGAGATCAATACAATTTGGGTGTAAGTAAGGATATGGAAGATCAAAAGCTACGGAGTTGTTAATGTCATGTTGAAGGTTCATCCAACGTTGTACGTTATTTGTACCAGAATCTACTCACTTGGTTTGCTCCACTCATTATTTACAAATCATATATCATCCACTTTTGAGACCAAACACTTGTTGCTTTGTGTTCTTGTCCTTTCTTTCACTTGGGGAATTGCATAATTTATTACAGGAGCTGCTATAACCGCCTGGAGAGTTTGCCATTCATGTCGCCTGGCCCTGGAATATTTTTGTTGCATTTCATTTGTAGATCCTTTTTTTTTTGGCTGGAAGGGGAGGGGGGGATACATCACCCTTCCTCTGTTCATCCAGACACCCATGAGGAAATATTTAAACTTTATGAGGGAAAACAGTAATACACTTGAGAAGTACACACACATGGGAACAACCCCTTACTCTCCCCCTTTGGAAAAGCCTCTAGCTTTGACTAATCACGACATCATATCACTTGTTGTCAGAACCGGTAGACGCGTCGTCTTTCCATGTCGCTTGCCATTGCTTATCATACAGAGTCGTCTCTTCGAAGAGCTTCTTCAGCTTCTCAAAATCCTCGTTCTTGCGTATGAACAGAACTCCAGCCACCGCTACGAACAAGAGCGTCTTGCAGAAGAAGTTGCCCATCTGGTCGACAAGCCCTACTCCGGTAAGACTGTCCACAAAGTATGCCATGAAGAACCCTATCATCGCCGCTCGGCCTTTGACAAAACGACATTTTGATTAGATCAAAGCCACGATTTTGATCCAACAGATTGATGGGTTATGAGTTTTAAAGAGGAACAGACCATTGAGGAGTTCGGCTTCAGGAAGATGGTATCTTTTCATCCATGCCCACCATGGAATTATGGAAGTGTCGAAGAGTACAGGTTCTTCGTTACTGCTCGTTTCTGGGTTCTCTTCTAGCCATTTCCTTCTCTTAGCCTCTGCAATCGAGTTTCCACGTTATTTTTGTTCACAGATAGAAACAACAGTTGATTACCTACCTATTCAGATTGCACTCGACAAAGATTCTTACCAGCAACGATTACGGAATCCCAATCGGTTTTTCCATCTTTCACGAACTGCTTCAGATCCCAAGTTCCGTCAACCCACCTCGAATCCTGGAATTTGATCACCGTCGCCTCCACCGCCGTCTCTTCGCCACCGACGGCGCCATTTTCTGCGGCGGATTTCTCCGCCGGAGGAGATGGCGGAATCGCTTCAGCTACCGCCGCGGCGGGCGTGGGAGGCTCGGCGGCGGTGATGGCGGAGGGGGAGGTCGTGCCATTGTCGGCAGAGGCTCGAGGGAGGGAGAGGAGAGAGAGACGCTTGGTGGGGAGGAGAGAGAAAGAGATCCTGGGGACGGAATGAAGGTTCTGGAGAGAGGAAGAGAAGGGTGGAGAGAACATCGCCATGGATATGGACATCTGTTCTTGCAAAAGCTCACTTCACGCTTCGGTAGTTTCTCTCTCTCTCGGCTTCTTAAGAATCGTGTGGCTTGAAATGAGCTTGGAGAGAGTGAAAGAGATGTTATCAGAAGGCGTGAGAAATGCATGCCGTTCACCAACAAACAAACGCAACTGCACAGCGTTTCCCTCGGTGAAAAACGGCGTGTAAATGGGCCGGGATAAAGCCCAACTGTAATGGGCCTAATTATGGGCTCTTACTTAACCAATGCCGTATATGGCAATATGGCTATTGCAATGTATGATCATCATTAGAATAGTGATGGGGTTATTAAATCTTTTCATGAATAATATATGTGATAGCGATTGATATGCATTGTACAATGAACCCACCCCCCCACCTGCTATTATAGTATATGCTTCGATATTATTATTGCCGTTGCTGCTGTAGCAGTTGTGTGATTAGTGTACAAAACGTACGCAATCATAGACATTCACCACTTACTCGAGGGCACGACCCTTTTCTGTCATTTGCTGCATCATCCATCGGTTTGATGGATCGTCCTCAGCCGTTGGATCTGACCCGTCATTATGCACATATGCTATCATGCTTAGCTCTATTATTCTCATAACTTTCAGACAATCACAAGGGATATATATATATACACACACATATATATATCAGTGTCCAATTTGGGTTCACGTGTTCCTACCGTCTCCTATGGTTTTTATTGATTTTCATCTGTCGTTTCTTCTTGTTAAATTCCATTTTTTTTTATAAAACTCTAAATATATTCGGAGGCAAAACTTGTCTGCGATATATGTATATATATATATATGAACTGTAAAGTGTATGTCTACATTTACAAGACTATCATTTGGATATATAGAAATTATAACTTAAAAATATTTCGGATGTATTTGTATACTAAAAGTATATGCAATGGATCCATTAGAGATATTTGCTTTTTTAACAAAGATCAAACGGTGGAGATAAGAGAGGAGTTGTGGCCATCGTCGTCGTCTTTTGTGGACGACGGTGACTCTCACGCTCCACCTTTCCCTCTATTTTCTTTCCCTCGTAAAGCCGGAATGTAACTGAAAATAAACGATAAACGGGCATGAATAAGGTTGTGATAAAAACTTAAGAGAGACAATAGATATAGATTTTGTCACTTCTCTTATGCCAACTTACAATCGATTTTGTCATCCGGGGATATGTTGGGGTGGAAAACATTTAGTGACCTAACAAAGTCCCCGAAATCGATGACGCCTTTTCGTTTAGCGTCAAACATATCGAATATCTGCAAAGAAATCAACATTTATTTAATTCTGTATCCTCAGCCTTATAGCTTAAGAGTGTTTTTAAGCTCTCGTCCAGAAGAAGACAATTCTAGGAGACTCAGAAAATTAGATCACCATATTAGCAAACATGTTATCCTTCTTTCTGTTCTTGAACAAAGCAAGCTGAAACTCCTCCTGCACAGACGCGGGAGATCATAAATACTATCCATTTTCCCTTTTGTTAGCTTAGCAGAACGTTCCCCTTTTATTATTTTTTTCTATAAAAAATGTTTTTTTTTAAAATTATAGAGTGCAGAATAAACAGCAAGAAAAGAAAATCAATGGATCCTCATCCACCATTGTTAACAGCACACAGAATAAGTGCATTTTGTTATATGTATAGTCAAATGTTTATACTTAGGTAAAATTAGCTCTAACCCCCCTTTTGCTACTATTAAAATTTGTTTTTTAATTTTAATTTAGACAACGTGCACATTGACATATTTAGGCACACGCATATCTATATAAAATTGGAAATCTTGTATTAACTGAACATTTTAAAATACATATAATAAAGTAATCGAGTTTGTAGTGTAATGCAAATATAATAAATTTGAGTTACAAGTAAAGATTATAGCCATTAGTTATATGAATACAAACATAATGCTATGACATATATGATTTATACAACCCAAACTTGGGTGACCTGGTGAAACAATATACAAAACATTATCTCATTCTGGGTTCACATGGAGAAGGACATTCACTTGGGTTTTTCGATCTTATAGTCGGGTCAAAGATTTGGTGAACCTTCGTATTATAAGAAAAAAAGTTATAAGATTTATACATGGATAAAAAAGACAACAAGGAATAAGAAAAGTCTACAGTCAACAGGAAGGCACCATAAGGCACAAAGCAATTATATTCCTCCTCAACCTCATCACTCATTAACCATTATAGGCCCAATTTTTTTTAAATCAGTTTTATATTGCTTGCTAATTGATTTAAATTAAACCAGATTATCTTTTCCTGTCAAAAATTAATTAGAAAATCTCTCGGTAAGTAACATCAATGGGCTTTCAAATTAATCCCTAAAAAACAATAAATTAAATTTGAAAAAAAAAAACAAAGTGTGAGAAGCTGAAACATTTACTTCGTCTACAAAACAAACAAAAGAGAAAATAGGCCATTTTACAAAATACAAACACAAGCATACTCTCTCTCTAAGCCTCACTTTCTCTCTCTTCCCCTTTTTCACATCCATTTATTAGATTCCTCTCTCAATGGTCTCTTCCCTTTTCCATTGGATTGTATTTGTATAGACTGATTGCTCAAGGAACCGAGAGAGAGAGAGAGAGAAAAAAAATTCGTCTCTGAATTTCTCTCTTCCTTGTTTTGATTTTCAATTTTCTGGGCTGCTGCTGTTTTTTTTTTCTTTTTATTTTCAAGAATTTTCTCAGAGGAGATTTGCTGGGTTTTGTCTTCGGCTTCTGCAGAAAAACTTTTTCTGGGTTTTTCCTTGCGGAGAAGCCTTGTTGATGCCCAGTTTGTGTTTTCCGTTTACAGCTTGATAATAACAACAGTAGTCATCATAAATTTATTTCCAAAATCTCTTAGAAGTTCTGTAAATTTTAGAAATTTCAAAGAAAAAAAGAGAAAAGGGAGATTATTATGGGGAAGCAAGGGCCGTGTTGTCACTGTGGAGTTACAAGTGAGTTCTTGTTTCTCCAATTCCAAATCCAATTCCATATCAAGAAATTGACCCATATATAGATTTTCTATCTACACATATGATGCTTTTCCTGGATAAAATGGCTTTCTTTCTTTCTGGGGACTGATTGTTTATATGCTTTGGTGACCAAGTTATTTGGTTATTATACGTTTGGTGAGATGCGCCAATTGATTAAGCAGAGTTATGGATGGACAGCGAATGCTTTTTCCCGGACAGATGAACTTAAATGAGAATTTGGAGTCATGTTCTGTAATCACATGTCTTTAGTTGTCTATGGTTACTGGGTTTTAAGAACACATGTTTCTGCGTTCATTTGTGGTTTGCTACGTCCGTTCTTGTTTTTCTCTTTTTGTTTTGATTGAGCATTACATGTCTGGGTCAATGGTTGTGCACCCAGATGGAAGACAATGGATTGGGGGGGGGGGGGGGTGTTCAATTGTAATGAACTTACAAGCCAATTGTCTGAATTAGCTCCGATTGGTGATGGAATCCTGGATGATTGTTTTTTTTTTTTTTGGAATGAGACCATTGATCTTCTCTGGGGATGAGCTTGCCGTTTGAGATTTGAGATGATTTTATCACACTTCCTCGTTTGTTCTTGTGCTGATTCTGCTTAAGCTTATAGTACTAATCGCCATATCTGCTCATTGTTCATCTGTATTGTCAAATGCTTTGCACTTACCGGGCGTTTGCAAACAGGTACGCCTCTCTGGCGGAATGGGCCACCGGAAAAGCCAGTGCTGTGCAATGCATGTGGATCACGGTGGAGAACAAAGGGATCATTGGCAAACTACACGCCCCTTCATGCTCGGGCTGAAGCAGAAGACAACGAGGATCAAAGGGTTCAGAGGTTAAAGGGCGTACCTGTAAATAAGAACAAAGAAATGAAGATGCTCAAGAGGAAATCCAATCAAGAAAATGCAATGGTTAAAAGGGCTTCCTCCTCAGAATTCTATCATGGTTTCAAGAAGGTGGTAGACGAGGATGCTAGCAACAGATCAAGTTCCGGGTCAGCTATATCAAACTCTGAGAGCTGTGCACAGTTTGGAAGTGCAGATGGGAGTGAGTTTACAGGTTTGATCCTCTCTGCTGTTGTATACACAGGGCTGTACACATTTTGATGCTAAAAGCATATACGATATCTTCTGTCCCGAGTTTTAGATTCTTGTTATTTTGCTCCTTAACCAACTAGGTGGTCTTTAAAGCGGTTCCTCAGTGCCAATGTGCCCTCTGTTTCAGGTCCAGCACAGTCTAACGTGTGGGACACGTCCGTTCCTTGCAAGAGGAGGACGTGTGTGGGCCGTCCAAAGCCTTCTTCAGTGGAAAAGCTCAGAAAAGACCTCTATAGTATTCTACAAGAACAGCAGTCATCGTGTTTCTCCGGTTCATCAGAGGAGGATCTGCTTTTCGAGAACGAGACACCGATGGTTTCAGTTGAGATAGGACATGGAAGTGTTCTCATGAGGCATCCACACTCGGTTGGTCGTGAAGAGGAGTCTGAAGCCAGCTCGCTCTCGGTGGAGAACAGGTCCTCAATGAATGAGGCATATTCACATTCTGGCAAGTCCATTTGCAATGGAGCTGCAAAAGCTCCAAACTTTGGTGGACAAGCGATTCAGCAGGAGCAACTCAAGAGGTAGATTGATTCTCTCTCTATCCGTGATATCGTTTCGTACATTTTCGTTCGGTAACTCTAGTTTCTCCTTTCCCGCTGGATAGAAGCTTGGGACATAGTCAGGGTGGAAAAGAAATCTTGGATACCATGATCATGAAAATCCTTTCTAGAGTACAGATATAAGATTCGGGTAGAGACAGGAAAAGAGAACGTCCAATCTCACTAACAAAAACATTGTTCCTCATTGCAGGACCAAGTCTCAAAATGAGAAACAACAAATTCTAGGATGTCACAGTTCACCACTCTGTACCATAGATTTGATGGTGAGTTCATCAGATTTCTGAAACAACTGTGGTCAGCATGTTGGAGATCTGTCTGTGGATTAACAGTCGTTCTAGCTCTGTTGTGCAGGATGTTTTCAACTTCGATGAGTTCATGGGACAATTCAGGGATGATGAAAAGCGGCAGCTGATGAAACTGCTTCCTCAGATAGACTCTGTTAATTTTCCCGATAGGTCTGACTTTGATTGCATAAGCAAAGCTTACACTGAACCGAATCATTTCACGGAATCAAGCTGACTTTTTAATAAGTTCTGATTGTTCTTGTTTCGTTTTGCAGCCTCAGAAGCATGTTTGAGAGTGCTCAGTTCAAGGAGAACTTCCCTTTGTTTCAGCAGCTAGTGGCTGATGGTGTGTTCGGGTTATCTTCTTCCCCAGGAGCCAAACTAGAAGACCGTAAGATGCTAAAGAAACTTGCTTTATCCGATCTTACCAAATCCCATCTGGTTGAAAGCTATTACCAACTCAAGGTTCGGCTTAATTTCCTTGAATTGATTAAAGCCTGCCAAGCTACCATTGACATGATGGGTTTGCCCCCCTCAACTGTGGTTTTAGATCACTAAACGTTTGTCTGCAGGAAGGCAAAAATGGGACAGTAGGCTCTTCTACTACACCATCAAGAATCCCAAACTCGAATGCATCAAACAATCTCATAGGCATTAGTAGACTTAGTGAAAGCCAAAGCCACAAGATTACAGGTCAGTCAAGAAGGAAATCCTCTCTATTAAGACGTGTTAATTGTGATTATAATGCCAAACCTGTAATGGGTTTGTGTTTACAGAGACAAGGGCTGTGATGAGGAGCCCTAAAAGGGTGGTGATGAAGATGAAACCAAATCAAGAAATCAAAGAGAAGGGGTTCGTAAGGAAGGGATTGGGGTTTGAGAGAGATGGGTATGAAGGGGATGGTGATGGTTATGAGCATGATCTCCTTCTGGATGTGCCATTGAATGGGTCTTTTCCTCAAGCAGAGTTGCTTCCACAGCCATAAGAGAGGGAGAGAGAGAGAGGAAACAGCTCTCTTCATACCTTTTTTTGGAACAAAGGCAATTAATGAGTCTTTAAAGCTCTAAGCCTACTCTTGATTGGAAGATTATTATACATATCAGGCATCTGAGCAGAAAACATAACCTCTTGGGTGAATCCTTCATAAAATGTTATATCTTATAACTATTCTCTCTTTCTCTTCCATGGCCCTTGAGAACTTGAACAAGAAGGTCGAGTTTTTTTTATAAAAAAAAACTCTTTTTGGCTTTTTGTATAGGGAGGAGAAGAAAACTGTAATAACATATAATAGACTTTGAATGTGGAAATGAAGTAATGTGTTTTGATTTTTTTTTAGTGTTTTATGGTTTTTTAGTAAAAGTATTTTTTTTATTATATTTAAAGTGGAAATGAAAAGTATGGATACAATTAGTTGACTATGTTTGAGATGATTATGGTGTAAACTAAGCGTGGGTAGAGATGGAGATGTTGAAATGGATTTATGGATGTATAAAGATGAATATAATTAAAAATAAGACTATTGAAAAAAAATAAGAATAATAAATATAGAAGATAAATTACGAAAAATAAATATACAATATAAATTTGATAGATATGTCGATTAAAAAGGTGAAGAGTATAAAAATAGAGATTGAAAAGGAAAAAAAAAGGATAGACCTATATTTTATGGCTGGGCGTTTCGGTTCGGTTCTTCAGAATCGGACCGAACCGAACCGTTAAAACAATATTTTTTTCTGATCCGAAACCGCTGTTATTTTCCGAACGGTACAATTGTTAGAGAACCGAATTTTTTCTGGAACCGAACCGAACTGAATTTTAAAAATCCCGAAAAACCGAATGTTTTTAAAGAAAATCTATCATTTTTTAATAAAATTCGAAACCGAACCGAACCGATACCGAAACCGAACCGAATCGAATACAATAAAAAACTCGATTGGTACCTATTTTTATAAAACCGAAAGAACCAAACCGATCTATTCCGTCCCGAACACGAACCGTTTTTCGAAACGCTCACCCTACTATATTTATTTGAAAAGGTGTTTTTAGAAATGATTTAGAGTTGTTATAGATTTTGAGATAACTAATACAAAATCAAAATGAAAGGAAATGAAAAATTGAGCCACCCACCCAAATCAAATTGGTAGTAAGAGGATGTTGGCGTTGTTAAGGTGGAAATGACGTCATGTATTTTGTTTTTTAGTGTTTTATTACATTTAAAATTATATCCATCCTCAGTAATAAATGGGTCAGAAAAGCGTTTTTTTCTCCCAATTATAATTATATCCATCTCACCTCTTTTAACTTCCCAATTATATGATTAAAATGTCGTTTTATTTTCTCTTATTATCCATTTCCTCTCTCTCTCTCTATATATATATATATAATATCATCGAGCCGGTCCAATTAGAAAAGAATTTTACTAAATTGATCTCATCCCTGTAACATTTACCTCAAAAGCTATCAAGAGAAAGAAAAAAATAAACACGTCGAATATTGTATTTTGCAGTAAATCACATACTTTCTCATACCTTAGAAAAAAAAATAAGGGATTATTATTATAAGAACAAATGTAAAGAAAAATTAAACTATACTAATTGCCGTTTCATGTACATAATAAATGACTAATTAAAACATTAATCATAACAAACTGCAAACGGTACAAATCAGCCGTCAAAACGTCACAGCGTCCTTCTTATTACCTCTCTCCCCGATTTTCCCGAGCCTGTTTGTTTCCCGAGAAAAAGAAAAACGCGGGAGAGAAATCTTCGTCTTCTTCCTCAAGCTCTGGTGGTTTCGTAGTTGCTATTTCTTTTCCTCCTGCAGTGTAAGGATCTTTATTATTACTGTGACTTTGCATGCATTTTCCAGTTCGAAAGACACGTATCCATTCTCATGGTCCTTTATGGATTTGGTTGTTTATCTGCTGTTATTATGTGTTCATGCTTTCGATTTCTCCAAGTACTCGTCCAGATACTGTGGAAATGATGGGAAGATGATTACTCTCTCCGTTAGTTATTTGCTTCGATCCTGAGAAAATGATGCAGCGTTGTTGTTTACTTGCCATTATGGGAAAAAAAGCGAGTTCTTCGATTTCTTAGTTTAGAAAGTTGTAGTCCGCCGTCGACTCCGACGGTCTTTCTGGAACTTTTTCTTTCTTCTTCTTTGATATGGCTCTAGAAATTTTACAAAGGTTTCTCGTCTCTTTAGGTGTTCGGAAATTACGAACCCAAAAGATTTCGACAAAACTATCCTTTTTCCTCTTCTGTGATCGTGTTTGTATATGAACTTGATAGAGTTATTTTTGTTATCTAGGGTTTTTGTTGGATTATTTTTGTATTGGGATTGAAAAGTTAGGTGATAAGTGGGTTTAGGGTCCTTTCGGAATTCGAATTCATACGGTTTGAATCCCACGTTGTTTTTGTAACCGCCGCTAATCAGTGGGCGTAGGGTCAATTAAGGGGTTTAATTATAATGTTTGTCTCATCGTTTTTGCTTTCAAATTCAATAAATACATCAGAAAAAATGATCAAGATAGGAGATGGAATCTCGAAGATCCCACCCCCCTAACGATGGGAAAAACAATAGTTAGAACCCTTAGTTCTGACAGAACTCCTGTTGTTTCCTTCGAGTTCAACAGTGTTAATACTTTCCGTTAGTTTGACCGAAAACTACAACTCTGCAGGATGGCGACCAAAAGAAGCTGCTCTTCCGAGCTTTTCAGCGGAAGTAAGCGGATTTCTGCTGTAAGAGATGCCCCGGTTGGATGCGGGCCTCAAACTGTTGGGTTTGGATTGGCAAAGAATGATCCAAGAATCGGGAATGCACGTGATTATGCAGCAACTGCATGCAGGAACGTCGTGGGACCGGTCTTGAAGAAAGTGAAGTTGAAGGGATTGGGAAGTTCTTCTTCAGCAGAAGTTGGATTAGTTGAAACTGTTGGTGGGCATAGCTGTGCTAGTCTTGTTGATGGATCCCAGGGAATGGAATTGATTGGTTTACATTCGAGTAAGTCTGGTTCTAAGGGAATGCTGCTATCAGCAAAAGGCAATTCAAGTGAGGCGAGTTTTCGGGTAAGGAAGGGGGACTATTCGAGACCCTCTTCGATGAAAAACGCAAATCCTTCTCATCGGAAGATTGTTTCGGCTACAAGGACGTTCCCCCCCTTCTGCGGAAACAATGCCCAACGTCTCAGTAGACCAAAAACTGTGGGACCTGTTCCATCCCAACGCCGTCTTCCACCTGGTCCAAGATCAGAAATGAGTTGTCCACGTGAAAAGGTGAGGAAGACATTGAGTTTATTCCAGGAAGTGTTCAAGCAACTGTCCCTCGAGAAACACGAAAAGCGGGAGAACGCGACTGACATGACGAGGAGGATGGACTGCAGAGCATGGAAAGTGATGAAAGAGGGAGGGAAACACGTGAACAGGGGAAAGATAATAGGGGAAGTGGCAGGAATCGAAGTAGGGGACAAGTTCGGGTACAAGGCAGAGCTGAGCGTGGTGGGACTGCACCATTCGATGAGGGGAGGGATCGATTCAGTGATAAGAGGAGAAGTGAGGCTGGCGACAAGCATAGTGTCGACGTCGGGGGGAAGCCACAACGACGAAATGGTGGAGAAGGACGTGGTGGTTTACACTGGTCAAGGCGGGAACGTGGAGAGAATGAACAGGAGGGCCGAGGATCAGAAGCTGGTCAGAGGGAATCTGGCATTGGCCAACTGTTTCAGGTACAAAACTCCGGTGAGACTTATAAGGGGGGAAGCCAGAGCCGGTGGGGGGAAGGTATACGTATACGATGGGCTGTATTTGGTCGAAGAGTTCTGGAGAGAGGTGGGACCCAGGGGGAAGCTCGTTTTCAAGTTCAAGCTCCGCAGACAGGCTGGGCAAACTGAATTGCGTTTGACTTCGAATGTTTAGTTTAGGTGATCGCTTGGGGGATGTGTCGGGAGGCGTTTGCTTGCTCTCTCTCTCTTTTTTTTTTTTTTTTTTTGTGAGACGATCTTGATTTCTTCTTCTGAATGAGTCGAATTCAGTAGTTTTTTTTTTGTTGTATTTGTTTTTGTGGTTTCCTCGTTTAAATCGATTAACTACCTATGCACTACGTTTATAACAATCCATACCGTATAAATACATGTACCGTATATGCATGCTGCATGCTTATATATATATATATATAAGCATGTTGTCGTCTTCTTCTTTTTTTTGGTAGCGAGGGAGCATTGGGCACTGAGAAATGTTTGAGACATATATTTAAATATCAAAAAAACTTTTAAACGTAGAAGATGGTAAAAATACAAGCGCACAAAACAAAAAGGCATTCAATTTGAGGTGGTAACAGAAGAAAAAGAAAAGGGAAAAATGTAGCAAGGAGTGGAAGGAAGCTTCCCCACAATGAATGAATTACAAGAATTCAACAGAAGGGTTTTCGGAAAGCAGAATGAGAAGTGAAATAGACTTTTGTATATGGAAAGAAGATCAGCTTGAACAGGTGAATTTCAGAATGTAACCTATTATGATCCCAACGAGTCCCACAATAGCTGCGAACTGTAAAGTGACGCCCTTGCTGCCTTTCCTCCCTCTCAGCGTCTCCTGCAAATTGTTAATGTTAAGGAATGCTGCTATAATCTCAAATCAAATGGATTGTTATTTGAAATCGCAAATCATTTGGGTTCCTGAGAAAGAGGACAGAAGTAGCAAAATCGGATCTATGTCCAATGGATCGAGGTTCACATGATAAGGGTGGTATGCATGAATTCTGACAACTACCCACATCAAATACTACTTAGGGTTACCGAGGAAAAAAAACATAATGAAAATCAAGGATGGTTTACTGAAGGGTACCAGCTCTTGTTGCAGCTGCTGCGTTAGCTTAACGGCTGCATCTCTTTCCTCCTTCAGGCGCTGTATGGTCTGACCCATACATATTGATGAAAAGAAAACTTAGAAAAGTGAGAGAGACAGCCAAGGACAATCTAAGTGTGGAAATATCAAAGGCTCTTGAGCTATAATGTATTATTATGATATATGTTCGCCTATGATATTTTTATGAGATGCATAAGTCATCAGGCAGAATAATTGTTACTCACAGAGATGGTTTCAGAGCCATTGGCATCACCCTTTGTCGTCACGTTCTCAAAGGTTACATGCCGTGAAGAAGGGGAGACATACGAGACTTTAAGCTTGCATTCATATGTTTTTCCACCCTCCTTAGTGAACTAGAAACATTCATCAAACAAGGTTGGAATCAGTGCTTCACCAAGAGTGGTAAGAAAGTGATTTGCAGGATGAAACATTGGTTGTACCGTATCTTGAGGAAGCTCATCCACATCGGTATGAGGAGGTACTATGGTACTTTGTAGGAGAAATTTGTCTTTGCACTGCATATCAAGAGGATATTCCCGCTGTGCTTGTAGAGTCACTGCCAACCAAAAAACACGTTTATTGCTTTCATTCATGTGACCAGTTCTTGAGGAGTGAAGACCAACAAAGGTAAATGGGTTTTGAAAAGACCGAACATTGCACCTCTAATGATGCAGGAGTCCCAAGGCTGGATGACACCCGTGTTGGGTCTTACGAAGTACTTCTTCGGTGAAGTTGTTTTAACCTGATGCGGAGAGAAAACGCCAAAGCTCAAAAGTCACACGATTGTGGAGGAGAACAACCTCAATACCTTGTAGCAGACAAGAAACAGATCTGTTCTAGAAATGTAGGAATTACCTTAAAAGCAACATAGTGTTCTGTTTTATTGGCAACTTTCAGATCACAGTAGCTTTGCTTCTCCAATTCAACTGAAACAATATGATGAGTCTCATGATGATCGGGCAATACAGACAAGACAATGCATGATGAATTTTCTAAACTAAGGCAATACCTTAACGTCAAGACAATTCAAGTAATCAACATGATTAGATGTAACGAAAGGAAACCAATCTTTTCTTCAGCGAAGCCAATCTATCAATCATTCATCTTATATCCCATAACTCAGAACAACGAGAGTATATCTCATTTCTAGATAGAAACTGTATAAACTTCAATTCTAAGAAACAGTAACAAAATTCATGCGTACGTATTCACACATACATGTACGAAAGAAAAGTGATATACTTTAATACTTACAAATGAATTTGAGTTCATCAGGTTGAACGGAGATAAGCTGATCACCCCCACCGGCAGTCATGGTTCAGCCACCACGAAGATCGACAGATCAATCTCCTGAACTCGAAGGCACCGGATCAGGGATTCTATACAAATTGGAACCCTAGCTCAACAATTTCTCCAACCACCAGAGGAAAAAAAATCCAAAATTCGCAAAAAAAAAAAAAATCAACCGGAGAGAGAGACAGAAATCGAGAGAGAAGAAGAGAAAGAAAGGCGGATCAAACCCAAGGACACAAATTAACGGTAGAACGATCGGAGAGGGAAGCGAAGAAGCTGATTGGTGAGTTTCTTGTTGGTCGCCCCGGAAATCGCTCTCCCACAAAAACCGGGGTCAAGTCCCTATCTCTCGGTCGAATGGTGGCGAAGAACAAAAGGAGCTTTTATTCTCTCTCTAGAGAGAACGATAGAGAGAGAGCAACCTTCGAGGAGCAGCGGCCACGTGAAGTCGCTGCAAAGTTCGGTGCGATTTCCTCCGCCGTCGTCTCCGGGAAGAACGGCGGAAGAGAGAGAGAGAGAGGGGGGAGGGAGAATGACACGTGGGGTGTAGGAAATTTGCGGTTGCGGCTTCAATTGTGAATTTAATCCCTTCTTAACAAATTAATTTGATACATCAAATATGTTTACTCAAAAAATAAACCTACATTATAATTTCATTACAAAATCTAATATGAGGTTTATTTTTTAAGTGCCAAAGAAAATGTTCAATTTAAAGACAAATTTGCCTGATTAATCATCATTTCCAAAATAGATTAAAAGAAAAGGAAACAAAATAATAATAAAAAATGTGAAAGAAGAAGAAATGGATCAAAAATGGGGAAGTGCCAACCATGATGATTGACAGGTGTTTGTTTCTATGTTGGTTCATACTTTTTATTCTTTAATAACATTATTCTGTTTCAGGCTGAAACTCATTGGATCTCTCCAATATGTTTTTGGGCCTTCTTATTGGACTTCAGACATCCTTAACAGGCCTACCTACTAATCTATCTACAGCCCAATCTGGCCCAATTCTTTATAACCCCATAATCTCGGCAGGAAAATAAATAATAAATTTTAAAATGGGATGTGTGTGTGTGTGTATATATATGTATATATAGCCTGTATGTAATTGGAATCCATTGCTTTTCTCTTTTATTCTCTCTAGGGATAATCTAATTCCCTTTCAATTCCATTTTATGTAACGTATAAGTATCATATAGACTTGGAAGGAAAAAGGTCCAATTTTATCCATACATGTGCCTCACCACCGACTTGGTTTCTATAATTATTTGAAATTTTATTTCTCTAACGAGCATAGTGTAAAATATGATATACGGTCTTCCATAATTGATTAATGGAATTTGCATATAGGATTATGGAATTTCATTGTGAGGAATCAAATAAAAAAAAAAGCAGGAAAAGATTTGGGCTTTGAATGGTAGTGGCTTTTATTTTGGGTTTTTGGTTTTAGTTTTTGGTTTTTAATTTTTGGTTTTTGATTTTTGGTTTTTAGCTTTTATAAGTTTGTAAATCTAAAAAATTGTAGTTTTTGGTTTTTAGTTGATTTTTTCCATAAAGTAGATTTCCGGATTTTTAGGAAAACCAAAATTTAAAAAACTTGATTGTTGGTTTTTTCAGATTTTAAAATCCAAAAACTCCAAAAACCATCTCCCATTCAACACCCATTCAACACATTGGTTATTTCTCTTCCAAGCATCTATGTGATTGGCGTTGCCACGTCACCGTCCAACGACGCATTTTAATTCCAACTTCGTTGGTCTCTTTTGCTTTCTTTAACCGCGTCGTCATTGTCAACGACAGGCACCGTTGGCCCCTCTCTCTCTCTCTCATTTCTTGCCGACGACGATCGCTCTATTTTCTTATCGATTTGTCATCGGGATCTCCCTTCGTGATTGGAATTCTCCCAGATTTCCTCCCTGAAGATCGATCCAGCTACCAGAGGAGCCATGAATCCCGAATAGTAAGATGTTCCTTTAATCATGTGATATCAATCTGTCAGATCGCCGAGCCTTACTCGATTTCCTCTGAATTTTTCTATGTAGCTCTGATTTAGTTTCTGTTAGATTCGCTTAGAACCTTTGATCAGTAAATTGGGGGAAATTCTGCCCGGTTTTCCTCGTTGGCATCGTTATGGTTTTGTCTCATCGGTTCCTCTATTTGGATTCTCGTGATGCATCGATTAGATCCAGAAAATCTGGGTTGATTAACCGCCGGAGAATTTCGTTGTTTAAATCCGCAAGTTGGAATACAAGCTTAGAATCATGAGTGCTGACACAGGAACAATTAATGGGTTTTATAGCGTAGTTATAATCTGGATATGATTCCAGGAGAGAACTCGAGATGTTTTAGGAAGTTGTGTTTTCTGCATCTTGCATTTCCGGACAACAGATTGGGCAAAGCAAGGTTGTGTCCTGTATTTGTAGAGGGACCAGAAAGGCTGAACGATGAACTCTATACCTGGTTTGCGCTCTGTGTTTCATCAAGCGTGAAGAGTAATCTTACGCTTCTTTCTACCTTTTCTGTTTTCCAGTGACTATCTGTTCAAGCTTTTGCTCATCGGTGATTCTGGTGTAGGGA